GCCCGAGCTCCAGGTGCCCCTCTTAGCAGTGGCTGCTGCGCTCCGCACCGCGCCGCACTGCTGGCGTGCAAGCCAGCCTGGGTCTGGGTCAGCGCGGGGACGCTGGCCTGGCCGAGGCTGGCTCTAGGCTGCCTCCAGGCCGCCTGGCTCAACTAGGGCGCGTCGGAGTGCTGCGGGGCGTGGCGGCCCTATGGTGGCGGCCCTGGTGGTGGCCCTAGTGGCAGCGGGGCGATGAAGTTACCGTGTACCGGGGGCACAATCGTCGCACAGTGGCCGCCCTGCCGGGCCCTGCCCCCGGCACTTGAAGTAAAGTAACTTTAGTGGACGACAAATTTGCCCACCCATCATAGGGGGAGGGTGGCGGCGTATGTGTACCAGTGTGTACCCACCCCCGCCGCTCGCTCCTGCGCGGTTCGTCCTCGTGGAGAAGCCGCGCGGAACGAAAATACAAAAATAATAAAAGAAAAATGTTTGCAGGGAAAAGGGGCGCGCGCGGCGGCGCACGCGGTTCTCGCAAGACTTGTTTTCCGTATTGTCTCACGGCGGAGGCAAGGAGGCCGGGCGGAGGCAGGGCGGCCGTGTCGCGGCGAAACTTTGATTCCAAAAGCCCGTTGCGCCATTACTTATGCACGGCCTGTCCGGGCCGTGTGCCACGCTGTGCCACGCTGCCGCCGTGCCGCCGGCTCAGCGAGACTCCTGCTTTCCGGCCGGGTCAGGGACCGCGACAGGATGCGGACAGGCGGACGGCCCGGGTTGCCTCCTGTGCCTCCACTGGAAACACAAACACCTCTACCTGAGGAGACAGGATTTTATCTCCGCCGCAGATCGGAATTCACATTTCGGAAAACACTCGACAAAACAACACACGAATCCACGCAATATTTGTAGACAACGTAGAGGTAAATTGGAGACAGGGCGTGCAGGCAGGGCCGACGGACGGGGGGAGACGTTTTGCTGAGGCCACTGGAGCACATGCAGCGGCCCGCCATACATAACAGTGTGACTAATTGCCGTGTTGTTCCATGCGGTTCGCTGCCCCCCCCCCCCTTTTCCCCCTCGCCGGGCAGTGGGGCCGACCCTGCCCGGCCTGCCTAGCCTCCAGGGGCCCTGGGGAGCGCGCTGCGTTACCGCGTTCTGGACTCCTGAAGCTCATTACTGTGAATTTGTCGGACCACGCCTCGCTAGCGCGCCTCACAGTGGCGCGCGCCTGAGTCGTGCCCACACGCCCCGCCCCGCCCCGCCCCGCCCCGCCTCGCGCGCGGACGCCACGCCCCTGTCACAATCGTGACGTTACGCCACAATCCTCGGTTCGCACCTGCTCGACGCACTACGCCACTCCGTCACGCGGCGGAGCGCGGCGGAGCGCGGCGCCACGCCCGGATGACCCTGAACAACAAAGAGTAGAGCAAGTTTGAGGAGGACGTGCGGGCGCCAACTTGGAACATCACTCATCAACGGACAGACGCACGGCAGCGTCCCAGGAGAGCCACCGCTGCGCGCTGCCCGGCTGGCCACGGGAAAAAAAAGGTGACAGCAGACAGGGGGCGGCGGTTTTGTCGTAGAACACAGGTCAAAGACCGTCCCTGCTGCACACACGCGTGCGCACACTCACACAGACGGGGGGCACAAAGAATGTTTGCACATTGCTTTATTAAAATAAAAAGACGCTTCGCATTCGCACGCCACGCACAACACGCTAGGGCTGGTAGGGCTGCTAGGGCTGGCCGCCACGCCATGACTCGGCGTGCCCCGCTTACTCCGCTTTGCGCACACCGTGTATAAATAAAATTTGTCGGTGCAAGGGGACCGCTAGCGCCGCTAGCGTCGCTGCCGCTACCTCCGCCGAGGTCCCCATCATCGCCTCAGAGAACAGTGGGCCGGCCAGGCTGCCAAGATCTGCCTTTCCCTGTCAGAACATTAGGCAACCTAACCTAAGGTCCCCGCGTTCAACCGCAGGTCGCGCGGCCGGCCAAAACGAAGACATGAAGAAAAGAGAATTTACAGGAGAGGAGACACGATACCGGCGCTGCACATACAACCGATGCTCTCCGATACCAGGACACCGACAACGAGTGGTTTTGCAGAAAGCGACGGCGTCCTCGGCGGCCGGGCGAGACTCCGCCTTCGGGGACTGCTGTTCCATATCGGGCATCCCCGAACGGGGCCGGCCGGGCCGCGGGGGCGGCGAGGGCGGCGGGCACGTAACCCTTTCGCTAATTAGAAGGAGAAGGACCGCCCTCCAACGGACTGCCGCCGCAGTGCCGATCGCCGCGGCGTCTCATCTCCCTCGTCCTGGCCTTGGTCGCCTTGGTGGGGTCCTAGGACTGGGTGGAGGCGGCCTTGACGGACGGACGGCCGTCCCCCCCGCGATCTGCCGAGCACTGCCGGGAACATTAATTCGCGGAAACTATGCTCAAAAAGTCGTGTTTTGGGCCGACTTTAAGCTGCCACTGCGTCCGATCCGAGGCGGGCCTTCGTACTTTCTCAACGGGCATTTCGTCTTTGGACCTTCCTTTAGCATGCCTTTGTTACGGAGTGCGATTATCTACCTTAGTTTGGGAGCAGTATTGCCGCAAAGTCAATCAAAACTGACTTTAAAGTCATTTTCGACCGTTTTGATCAACTTTGCGGCAATACTGTACCCAAACTAAGGCAGATAATCGCACTCCGTAACAAAGGCATGCTAAAGGAAGGTCCAAAGACCAATTGCCCGTTGAGGGAGGACAAAATACCGCCTCGGGCCAGACGCAGTGACTGCTTAAAGTCGGCCCAAAACACGATTTTCCAAAGACATTTGTGACTGTTTTCATCAACTTTGAGCCAATACTGCTCCTAAAATAAGGCAGATGATCACGCTCCCTAACAGAGGCATGCTAAAGGAAGGTCCAAAGAGCAAATGCCCGTTGAAAAAGGACGAAGGCCCGCCTCGGATCGGACGCAGTGGCAGCTTAAAGTCGGCCTCTCTCTTTTTCTCTCTCTCTCTCTCTCTCTCTCTCTCTCTCTCTCTCTCTCTCTCTCTCTCTCTCTCTCTCTCTCCAGTTCTCCTGATTAAACCTTCCCAAAACAGCGGGAGACCGCGGGAGACGCGCGGCGTGGCGACAACCCCTCCCGAACTCCCCCGAGGGTCCCGTGCCTCGGGGCGGCGGGGCTGCGGGGCGCCTCGAGAGTAGCTGCCAACACTGCCAGCGCTGCCAGCGCTGCCAAGCGCCGGTCAGCAGCATCCACGCTTAGAAATGCATGACCATTTCCGGTGTATGCCGATGAGCAGGGGAGGAGCAGAGGGGGAGGTTTAAGCCCGTGGCCATAATCTGCACTAGGGCGGGGCAGGCGGGCAGGCAGGCGGGCAGGCGGGCAGGCGGTCAGGCAGTCAGGCGGGCGGGCAGGCAGGCGGGCAGGCAGGGCTGGCGGGCGGGCAGCGGGACGCGTGGAAAACAAGATTATTCCGGCGCTGCTTCCCATTCAATCAAGTATAGGCCGCCTATATGTGGGTCACCATTTCCGCACCGAATTGAAAGCCGCGTCGCGCGCGCCATAACCAACACCACGCACTCACACACACACAGCTGTGCGCTGGGGTGGCGATGGCGGTAGGGCGACCGTGGAGGGGGAGGGGGAGGGGGTCTTCCACGCCAAGCCGCCCCGCCTGCGGGGTTTCCTGGTAGTTGTTTTGGGACACCCCTGGCCCGCCCCGCCCCGCGTCGTTCTATCGCAAACAAACAGACCACGCCGACACTTCAGGTCTCGTTCTAAATTTTTAAGACAAACTCCGGAGCGCCGTTCAGCGGGCAATGCCGTTCGGAGTCGTGTGGAACTGTTTGCAGCGCGACTCGGTTTGCCCCGAGCTTGGTACAGTACACTGTAGACTGCGCCTTCCACCCTCACTGCGGTGCGTCGGTTTACGGTGGGGCAGTTTTCTTCAAATACCTGTTTCCACTCTCCTTGTCTTTTGAGTGTCTGGTTGATTTGCGCGGTGTGCGAGTGGGTGTGCGAGTGGGACGCCCTCGCCTCTCTCTCCGCTGCTCTGCCATGGCTCCACTGTCCGCCACCACACTGCCAATTATTCCGACCGATGTGTTGCGCAACACGATGCACCAAGCGCCAAGCGCATGTTAAAAATGCTAATTGCCTGGAAAGAATTACCATCTGCTTTGTGGCCTTTTTCTCCTCCCTCTGCTCTCCAACCCCACCTGCCTGCCTGCCTTCTCGGCACGCTCGGCGTCCCCAAGCAGGCGAAGCAGGCCGGCTTCATTGTGGCGGAGGGCGGCCGGGAACAGCTTCGGGGACGCTGGGACGCGGGGACCAGGGACGGGCCCGTGGGGGCACGGCCACGGCACGGCACGGCCACGGCGGTGCTCGACTTCAAACGCATCACCGGGCCAGCCTTTTTGTACACGACAGCAGTGCGCTGGAGTCGGGCCTGGGGCCGGGCCTGGGGCCGGGCGGTCCTTGGACTAGAAGGTGTACGTGTACACTGCCAAGCTGGCCACCGCCAGCCCACCCGCCCCAGTGGCTAGGTGTGCGACCTACGGCCCTTTCTTCCCGGGGGACGGAATCAAGAGCAACGCTGGCGGGGCTGGCGGGGCTGGCGGGGCCGGCGGGGCTGGCGGGGCTGGCGGGCCGAGGGGAGGGGTAAGGCAACAGCATCTCTTCTCTCGCAGCAGCGCGAACCAGGCTACGACGGGGAGGGGGGCGGCGCGGGGCGGGGCGGCGCTGCCAAGAGGGGTACGCAGAGCCCCCCCGAGCGCTCGTTCGGGCCGGGGGTGAGGCCGGGGGTGGGTGGTGGGGCGGCAGGGCCGTTTGCGCGTGCGCGCGCTCGGAGCTCGCTTGGCCCCTGCCCCCTCGGCGACCCGCGCCCCCTCCGCGCCCCCTCCGCGCCCCCTCGGTGGGTGGGCGTGCTGGTGGTGCTGCCTCGCTGCTGGGCTGCCAGGGCTGGCAGGGCCACCAGGGCTGTGCCAGGGCTGAGGCAGCGCGCCGCCCCCAGTCCTCCCCAGTCCTCAGTCTCCCAGGCAGCAGTGGGGCCGCTCCGGCGCACGGCAGGGCTGTGCCAGGGCTGTGGCGACCGCTGCCTTCCTCTGGGCTCCCCGCAGCCTGCCTCTCGGCCTGCATGGCCTGCATGGCCAGCTTGGCCAGCTTGCGGGCATGGTGCAGCGCGTGACCTAGTCGGCCAGGATGGCGGCGTGGCTGCTGGGGCCGCGGCCGGACCTGGCCCGGGGCCTCGGCCTGGGCCGCCTCGGACTGCACGGCCTCCTCATGCTCATCGCCGCCTCCACCAGCCTGCTGCACCCCGGCGGCAGGCCTCCACCCCTCGCCATGGCAGCGTAAGTACAACAACGAGTGCATTGTAGTGGAGGCAAGCGGCGCAAGCGGCGCCCACGCCGGCCCCGCGCACCACGCCGAGCAAGCGAAGCGCGAAGCAAGCCGAGCAAGGCGCCATGCAGCCCGGCCCAGCCCGGCCCAGCCCGGCCCGGGGCGTGGCGGCGCGGCGCGGGGCGGGGCGGTCCTAGGGCGGGGCACGGAGGGGCGGGGGATGTTGTGGTAGGGAGGGTGCTGGACCAGTGTGAGCCTAGCACGCTGGGCTGGGCCCGGGCTTTAGTGGGGCCGGGCGGGGCGGGGAGCAGTGAGTGGAGCGCCATGCTCGCAGGCCAGGGGGGCTGCTCAATGCTTTCATCCCCCCTCTCTCTCCCTCCTTCCCTCTCTCTCTCTCGCTCCCTCCCCCTCTCACTCTCCCACTGTCGCACCCCCTCTCTGTTTCATTGTCGGCCAGCTCTGTGTGACTGTGTGTGTGACTGTGTGAGTGTGTCGCCCACTTTCCTTTTCCGTGTTGGTTTCTTTTTCTTCTTCTTTTTCGAGTGTGCCCGTTGTTCCTCTGTTTGCCTCTCTTTGCTTCCTAACGCCTTCCATAACCTTTCCCCGCGAGTCCGGGAGAGAGGTAGAGAGTCTGCGAGTGTGTGCGTGCGTGTGTGTGTCTGTGTTGTTTCGGCAGCCTTTGCCTGGCTGGCTGGCTGCCGCTGCAGCATCCCCTTTGCCCTTTGGGTAATGAGAGCGCGCCCCTCACCGCCGCCACCGCCCCCCACCGCCCCCCTCCGCCCCGGCCGCCCCCCGCCGCCCTCGCCGCCCTGCGGTTCCAAACGGCTGCAAATAAAACATGGAAACGGTGTTCATCGCGGCGCGGAGCGCGGAGGCTGCGGCGGGGAGCACGGCGGCCAAGTGCGCAGTTCGGCCGCCGAGGATGGCAGTTTGTTGACAGTGCGGGGCCGGAAGGCACGGGAAGCGCCAAGCCGCCAAGCCAAGGGAGCTTCCGGGAAGCCACGCTCCCGTTAGCGCCACGCCGCGTTCCCCGAGCCTCCATGCCCCCACCGAGGTCCTCGCCGAGGTCGCCGCCGCGTGTCGCTGGAGCACGTCGTCGTCGCCGACGGCGGGGAATAACAATGCTCAATTGGAGTCCGTCAGGGCGACGCCAGGCGACGCAGTGTTATGCCAAAGCCGTGTCAACAGCGCCTGTTTTCCGGCAAACCAAAGGCGGGTCGAGCCAGCCCAAGCGTAGCCGGGCCCAAGGCAGCGGCGGGGCCCAAGGCAGCTCGCGGCGCCCTTGTTTTTAGGGTGTGCCAACAAGCCTCTGCGGCCCCGCCGCGTTCTTGTGCTCGGGACCGCGGGGCGTGGCGGGGCGGGGAGGGGCGGGGCGTGGCGGGGCGGGGTGGGGCGGGGCGTGGCGGGGCGGGGTGGGGCGGTGGGGCTGTGGCTTCCATCCGCAACCCTTGCTGGATTGAGTTCCGTTCGGAAATCGCCCTACCCAAGCAGACGCCACCCCTGTCTCTCGTACGCAACAACACAGCCCCGTCCTTCCCGCCGCTGGCCGGCACCACAGGACTGCATTCTGAATGTGTGTTTGTGTGTTTGTGTGTGTGGGGGGGGGCGTTTATGATTGATGCTGACGGCCCCTTCGCGTGCGTGGGGGCGTCCGGGGGGCGCGCTGGTCAGAAGACAAGGAGGCTGAACGAAAAAGGGGCCAACTATACCAAGAAAGGGGGGCGAGGCAAGGCGAAGACGGTTCGCGGAAGCGGAGGGCCGGGAGGGCCGGTCGCGGGGAGGGGAGGTAGAGGGGAAGATTTATTGGGTGTGGACCTTAGTAATACGTTTCCGATAGCGGTGTGCTCAGTCTATATCCAGGGACCAAGTCCGCTCGCGTAGTCGCCGGCAGGGCCGTGCTCTCTCCACTCCACCTGGAAGCCCGAAATCTGTTTGCGGCTCGCGGCGCCCCGGTGACCGGCTGCTCCCCTACAGTGTGAGTGCGGGTCCAGCCCCACCCTCTTTCCCCTTTTCTCCCCTTTCCCCCGCAGGCCCGCAGATAGTTGCCATATTTGAATGTGCGCGCCACTGGGCCGCGTGATAAGAAAAGCAAGGTACGGCCAAAATTTACGGGGTCATTACTTTATCTGGGCGGCCGATCGGCAACGCACGCTGACCCTGCTGGAGTGGTACCCTGCGGCAGGGCGCGGCACGGCAGGGCGCGGCAGGGCGCGGCGCGGCGGCCCGAATATCAAACAACTCAGATTTATCTTGCAGGTGTCAAGGGCGGCGGCGGATAGGCGTGTCGTGGTTTCCCGTTGTCTGTTATCGTGGACGTCTTCCTCCCCGCCGTGCAGCCCGCGCTCTGCTCTCCTCCGCGCACCTCCGCGTCAACGTGGCGGTGCCACAGTGTGGTGCCGCGCAGTGCCGCGCCGGGGCAGCCCACCCGTGTACACTCGTTGTTGCCGCCTCACTCAGTGTGTGTATGTGTGTGTGTGTGTGTGAGTGGCGTAATAGCGTGAGCGTGCACGTCAAAGGACGCGGCTCACTGAACGGCTCAGATTATTAGTGGCCACTAAGGCAGTCACGCCTCACCGCTCCCCCGGGCTCCCCCCTCCCCCTCCCCCATCGCCATGGTGACCGCAGGGCTGTGCCGCCATGGCGCCATTATGAAAGAGACAGGCTTAGCCGCGCGCTTCTTTTTGGGACCGCTTTTCCCGGAACTCAGCCGGCGGCTCTGGCCGAGTTTAAAGTCGATTTGGCCGGAAAGTGGAAAAGTGGCGCTGAGTGGAGCGCGATCGCGGCGCATTACTTACGGTTTTCCTTTGGCCGCGTTGATTGCACATTCCCGGCGGGGGAACGGGGACCGCGCAATGACGGCGTAATCAGATTAATAAGATTCAAACAAGACGTGTCCTTGACGACCGCCTTGCACTGCACGGCCTGCACGCCATCGGCGCACTAATTACTACTCCACCTGGCCGCCGTTCGCGCCCTCGTCGCCCTCAACGAGCACGCCGCGGTCGCCATGCGCGAAAAAAAGACCCCGTCGACCGCCGCACCGCCGTCCATCGCGAGGCTAGTGGTAGAAAAATAAAGAGCGGGAAAATAAACATGGCCGTATTGGGCGCCTGCGTTTATGTGTCAGTCGAATCTGCTCTCATACATACAGAGCAGCTGTTTGCGGGGCGCCCGGCAGAAAGTGACAGAGCAGCGACGCGGCAGTGACGCGGCAGTGACACGCGCGTGTGTCCCGAGACAAACGGCACCGTCTGGAAAGGTAAATGAAATTCAACAGATAACGCGCACGCGTTTCCGGGCTGGCGTGCCGGCCGCGCTGCCCTGGCAGGGAAAGAGAGAGAGAGGAATACGAAACAAAAAAGATTTGCTGACTTGTCGCACGCACTCTCCGAGGGCCCACCGCACGTCTCACAGCCCGGCGGCCTGGAGGCCTGCAGGCCTGGAGGCCCGGAGGCCCGGACCTACGCCAGGCTCCTCAATAATTCAGCGCACCTGATCGCCAACCCTCGTATCGCTCAACGCCCCGCCCCGCCTCGCTTCGCCACGCCCGGCGCGGCACCGCCCACTAGGCACACAGTGGATCGGCGAGGCGATCCGCGTGAATACAAGCAGCCCGCCGTGGATGGATTACACCCGCACACAACGCCCGCCCTCACGCGTGTACACACCGTACACACACACACACAGACACGCACATGCGTGTGTCGGAGTGACTGTATTTCACCCTCTCATTTCTGATCCCGACAACAAGGACGACAGCAACTGCAGCACGCCAACGAGGGCGCCGACGTCAACAACAAAGACAGTCGCAATAACAACCAACAAAAACAACCACGACAGCATCGGGAAATCGCGGTGACACTGTATCGCTCCGAACGACGTGGCCGCCTTTCAGCACACAAGCACGGCATCCGTTGGGGCGGATAGTGCGAATCGTGCCAATAATTGATAAGGCCTGTGCCCGACGGTGCTCGGAAAGCAGTATTCGCAGACACTGCCGCGCTTCGGGTGCTTCGGGTTCCTATCGACCACGCGGCCTTGCTCCGCCAACCCAGCGCGGCACGGCCCGGCCCGCTGGCTGTGTTGTGGTGATCGACTGTCAGATATTTCGGGCCATCGACAGGAGACTTCCCCCTCCTCCAGGCCGGCCTTCTTCGTGCGCGCCGCGTGCCGTGTCGGCGACGGCCCAAAGAGTGGAGCGTCTTGCCGTCGTGGAGGCCGCGGCGGCCGTGGCGGCCCCCAGGCCGTCGGCGCCTCCCCGGCCGATGTCGCGTATGTCGCCGATGTCTGCTTCGACCAGCCGGGCGACAGCCGGGCGACACGCTGTTTCAATCACTCTGCGCGCCGCGGGGCCGCGCGCGCATGCACCGCACTCCGTACACCCTGCACGGCGACGGCGAGGCCGTCACGGAGGAAGTCGCCGTCACGGAGGTGGCGGGGCGCGGCGGCGCGGTGGGGCTGCGGGGGCGCGGCTTCTAATCACCGCCAGCCCCGCCCCCTCCTTCGCCCTCCTTCGCGGCGCGCTGGTCGGTCGCGTGCTCACTGCCGTCTTGGGTTTTCTTCCCCGATCGGCCGGAGATTGATTATCTGGACGAGGAGTATCGGCCTAAACCGCTTAGGAGCGCCCCGCCCCACCCCGCCCCGCCCCACCCGCACGGCGCACCTGATGAGGGCAGCACGCTCCTGTAAGCAAAGCGCGCGCGCAAAACTGTTAATAAGTTGCAAAATTGACTTACCCCGTTACGCGCGCGCGGAGCGAGGCACGGTTTCTAAATAAAGGTGTCGCAGCCAGTGCCTCCACGCCGAAGCGCGCGGCTCGGTGGCTTGGCGCTTTGCTCTTTGCAAACGCCCCGTCGCGAAATGAAGCGAAGCGAGCGAAGCCCAGGGAAGGAGAAGCCGGAGAAACGGACGGGGCGCGCGACGTTGGGCATCCGACCGAACCACCGAGACGTAACGCAAGTTGGTTCTCGGCGGCGACGGCCTCGAGTGCAGGCAGCCCGAGTGGCGCGAG